TAAGAGATTTACTTTTCCATAAATGAAAGTTGGATCCACCAATATTTATTTCAGACTAACTGATGAAAATATGAACAAACCCAACAATTATCAAACACAAGCTGTAACCTTTTATCATTCTTCAGTCAGTTGGCAGTTAAGTTGTAGTAAGGCAGCATTTATTTAAAAAGAAAGAGACTAACAAATCAATGTTTTTAATTTTACTAGCTTTACTTACCATTTACTTCCCACATATTATTTTCCTAGTGTTGTCAGGTTTTGACAACTATGGTATCCTAGTCTGATTTGCACTGATGGAAAAAAAGAAAAGAAAGAAACCAGTTGCCACATAGAATATGGAAAATAATTATTACACTAATAATAAATTTAAAATATGTTAAAAATAGAGTTTAGGAATGCTAAATATTCGGCAAATAGATGGAACTATGTGTACATCCTCTGTCATGCTTTGGATATTTTTTTTTGAATGAAGGTCTATTTCTTATGATTATATTTTTCAATTAATTGCCGATGACCTGGAAATTCACTCACTGAGCTCAGACTCTCTTGCTTGTATTATGGCATTTAAACTAAAAAGGCAAGAAATCAATTCAGTTGTTTGTGCTGTAATTGACTAAATAGCAAATGTGACACAGGATATTGAAAGGTCAAAATGAGAAGCATGCACGGAGCACTTATTTGCAAATAATTTTCACAAGTTTTTAATCAAAATTTGGTTAGTAATTGAATTATACCTTTTATTTTAGATGTTAAATAATTTTCATTATCTGGGCACATCTTTGTATTTCTGCTAAAATTACTGTATCTTTTACATACAATACTGTGTTTAAAAATCTAATTCACTTCTCAGATGACAGATACTGGAAAAGGTGAGGCTTGCAAGGAATAAAAAGATAGTTTTCATAGTATTAAGCTGTGATTGTGATGAAATATCTGGACCATACTGTGGCAGGCAGCTGGGTCATCTGGGAAGGAGGTTTCCTGTGTCACTTGGTGGCCTCTCTGCTGTGCTGTGAGAAGGCACCTGCTGCTGACAGGCACTGCAGAAGCGGTCTGAGCACAGAGAGAGCAAGGCTGGTGCACCTCTTCTTCCACCTCTCTGGTCTTCCCTGCTCCTGGCTTGCAGGATGATTCCTGAGAGATTTTTCTGCTTCAAATTCTTACAGGTCTGACAGTCTGTGCCCTCAACTCCCAAGCTGCCGGGGCCTCTGCTGTGCTTCAGGGTAGAGGAATTGCCCAGCACAGTAAGGAGCCATCCACCCTGGCTGCCCTCTGTCCCTGCAGCACAGGCATCCTCTCACTCTAGAGAAAGGCACTGTTTCCCTGGTCTCAGCCACCACTTCGTGCTTGCTGCAGCTCTCCCTTGCCTTTTTCAAATGCCATCTTTCCACCTGGCCCTTACCTACGCTCTGGACTAGAACACATTGCCAGAAGTGTCTTTTTCCTTCCCATTTGTCTCCCTGGGGACTCTCGCTCACTATCAGGTCCTGGCAATAGAGTCTAAGATCAGAACCGGGCTTCTGCCTAAGTCGGTGCCATGGCTTGTTTCACATCCCCGTTATTTTGGTGCCCAAGGTCCTGCAGAGGGATCCTGTCTGGCTCAAGAGCTTTACCATGGAGAGTGCTGCTGGGTTTCCATGGGACACCAGCTGTACCATCCCCTCAGGGAATGAGGGCTGACTGGTCCTAGCTTGCTCTGGTCCTTAGGCTCACAGGACACCTCTTTTCTCAAAGAGGATAACACTACTATTGAAAGGATATTAAGGTGGGAAGAGAAAAGATACATAAAGAATAGAATAGGATTAGAACATATGCATTAGTGAGCTTTTTCAATGAATAATAAAAAGCATTTATATGAGATTAAATTTAAGTCTTGTCTGAGTGAGAGATACTGCTTTCTGTAAGAGACTGAATTTTATTTAAGAAGCCTTGCATTTCCTAAAAAAAAGGGGTAAGAAGTTGCACAAATATTGACATCTGCAAACCTACCTCTCCTAAATTTTTTTAATAATCTGATAGCTGCTTCTTACATGTTAGTTTCCGTTCATTTTGAAATCACCTATTGTTGACTTCCTTTCTTTTCTATGGTTGCTTCGTTTTACTGTTTTGCCCTTCAAGCTGCCCTTCCCTAAAACTTCTAATGATATTTTCTCCACTACAAAGAACTTCAACAGTGTTTGGTATTCTGCCTTGTAAAAATAAAGTACAAAACAAAGCACATTAAAATATTAATACTTTGTTGTCACACTTTTTAAAGATTGTACTGTTGGGGATAAAACAGGCACCAGCATGAATGTAAAGGAGTAATAGTGGAAAGATAAAACAACTACAACTTATCATGCTGAAAGAATTTCTTTACAATGTGTTTGGTGAAATACATTCATATAGACTTAATAATTCCTTTGCAAGAATTTGTGAAATTCCTCCACCTCTCTTTGTTCCCTTAGTCTAAATGTTCCCATATTTCTCAGGATGTTGTGCTTGGGGGATAAGTAATTTCCAGTACATGCTCATATCAATAAACATATTGGATAAACTGAGTATGTTCTGCAATCTGCTTCATACAGCAGCTCTGCTAACAGGATCTCATGGTTCATCCTGAGCTTTGAATATATGTGGAGCATCTGGCTTTGCTAAGAAAATGAGGCTAAACTGTAGATCTTTCTTTATAAAGCATTAAATCAGTGCGGTGCTAAGCTACTGTCAGAAAAGTAACTCTCCTCCTTAAGATAACCTGTCCCTTTTCACAAAGACCTGGTGTTTTCCACTTAAATAGGGCTTACTAGATATAGATTGGAGTTTTTCAAGGGGAGAATTAGATAATTCTCTCTGTGACTGCAAGCTAAGGCAGTTCTCAGGGCCTTGCTCTTTAACTTATCCTATCACTATAACAGAATAAAAAGCTGATCTGGCTCGGGTCTTTGACAGTAATCTTGTGTGAGCAGTTTGGCCAAGATCTAGTGTTGTACTTACTGCCAGGTCACGGGGAGAGAAATCTTGAGGTCTTTTCATTTCTTACATCTTACCTGTGCATCAGAAAGACAGCTTAGTCAGTGCTGAACAAATGCCATGATCTGACTAAGGATTTATACACCACAAGGGAAATGTCCTCTTTTAGACACTGTGGTGTTTTGGGGGGTTCTTTCAGACAGACTCCAGAGCCACAGAAGTCAGTGGAAGCACAAATTGCAGGGGTCAGGTCCTGCTCAGTGTCCATCCCCTTGGCATCAACCTTGCAGAAATCCTCTGTGTTGCTCCTACTGAGCCATCAGTCGAGGCACTCTAGGAGTGCCCTTTGAGCCAGCTCCAGTTACTCAGTTATACCATCTCTTTTGTGGACCAAAACTAAATGGCCTCTTTGCTGCTTTGCTCTTCCATGGAATTTAAATGTATCAGTTAAAGCAATTATAAGATTTTGTCCGAAATATCCCTTTAGCAGTATCAAAAACAGTGTCAAAGACACCTAGGCAATTCCTCTGCATGGTGGTTCTTGTTTAGAGTGCACCCTTTTAGGCAGAAAATTGCCGGCTCTGTCTGAAGTTCAACATGAAGTCAGGAAAAAGCAATAATTACTGTTATTGCAGGGACAGAGATTAAGTGGCCACATGTTCAACTAAAAACTCACATAAGATTGGAGCAAATGACATGAAGCTCTGTCAGAGGAGGTTTAGATTGGGTATTAGAAAGAAGTTCTTCACCCAGAGGGTGGTTGGGCCCTGGAACAGGATCCCCAGAAGAGTGGTCACAGCATCAGCCTGACAGAGTTCAAGAAGCATTTGGACAGGGCTCTCAGGCACATGGTGGGATTCTTGGGGATGTCTTGTTCAGGGCCAGGAGCTGGTCTTTGATGATCCCTGTGGGTCCCTTCCTATTCAGGATATTCTATTTTCCGTGATAACCATGGGACTTGTCATTTTAACATCTTGCAGATGATTGTTTTTCAGAAGGTGGCTGCACCACCCTGATTCGATCTGTGTCGACACAGCTGGTTGGGTTTCCAGCCCTGCTGGCCCGGGCACCCCAAGCAGGGTGGCAGAGGGGCACTGCTGTCAGTGTGAAGTCGGGCTGCTCACTCTCCCGAGTCCTGCCAGTGCAGCACAGGCTGGGGGAGCATCCCACCTCTTCTCCCTCTTGCACTACTGAGGGCTCCTTCCTTTTCCTTGCAAAGCTTCTCTGCAGGGCAGCTGAGGACGTCCGGGTGGGGTGAGTGATCCCAGCAGGAGGAGAGGCGGGGAGGACCATCCCCTCTCTCTGCTGCTGCTGCTGGAGATGTGCTGGAACCGGAGCCGTCGATGTGGCTCCCCAGAGTTAGTTGCTCAGCAACCAGAATCAATTAATATGCTTTGCAGAAAGTGCAGGGGAAGCCCGAGCTGCTGTCAGTGAGCAGGCAGGAGGCTGAGGGTGACTCAGGATCCCACTCCTGCCTGACACCCATTTGGTCCCACCCCACATTCTCCAAACACTCCGTTAGCCACCGTTCTTTTCCCCTTTCTCTTTCCCTATGGTACTTAACGCATGTGTCCCCGAATTCTTCAGGCAAAGTACCTCATTGCTCAAGAAGCCTCCTGCTTCAAGGCTTTTGCTTTTAGATCTGACTTGTATTTTTTGGGTTTTTGTCAGATTTTCTTCAACACTTTTCTAGAAATTCTAATATTCATGTTCTTTGGGAAGGGAGAGGGATAGCTGGTGTTTTTGTCAGATGGTTTTAAAGATGTCTCAGGATGAAAAGGGTTGTTTGGTAGTACACAGCTGAGAAGCAGCAATGAAAATTCATCATGTGTAAATTGGGAAAGTTTTTCCTCTTCCTTTGCTGCAAATGATCAGGACTGCATATGTGAGACCAAGGAGGTAGTACTGATCGTTGTGAAACACCAAGATAATAGAGTAAATGAGGGGGTGTTGCGGGATTTTTATATCTTCTCCTTTTCAGTGTAGTAATTTCAGGGCTTTGGTAAGGTATTATTTTCTTTTTTTCTTTCTTTCTTTGATTTTCTTTGGAGTCCCTCTGATGACACCGCGAATCTGGGAATGAAGAACTTCTTAGAGCTGATTGGAAATGGCATTGCGGAGCTGAAACTTAACTGGAGGAAATATATCTCCTGAAGAAGAAAATATAATGCACTGTAAGGATCTGTCTTCTGGTGAAAAATCCAAGCTTAGAGAAAACTTGTCCACTTTCTTAGGAAGAATGGGTTGGACAATTTTCTTCAGTTCCAAAGGATATCTGAATGCCATGCTGAGCTTAATCTCTGCAGCATGCTCTGTGCTTCTCATCTCTTCCTGATGCACTGCATGGTAAGGCCTTTTTCCTTCCTTTTAATAATAACTATCTTTCTGATGTGGTGAGAGGTATAAAATAATAGCAATAGTGAAATGAAAATTGAAAAAATGTACAAATATAACAAAAGAATGTTTGCTTGCATGGTTGTTTTCAGGAGCAAGTGTCCTGATTACTGCAGCAGCTTTGTAAGATCATTTCTGTCTTTCTCCCTTGCTTTGTGACAGTGAATATGTGTGTGTGTGTTTGTGCACACCTGTGCTGTCATTTGCACTTGGACTGGAACATCTGCAGCTGTATTGTACATATTTCCATGCCAAAGAGGATGTTTAGGAATTTGCTTTGACATTTCTCTCTCTTTTTCCCTCCCTCCCTCCATTCCCCTCCTCCTGCCTCCTCCTTCTTTTGCTCTGTTTCTCTGGGGTCACGGTTCTATACCTTCCCTGCACCTCAGTCATGCACTGACCACTAGAAGGCAAAAATGGGAGGTAAAAGAAATCCTATATCAATACAAGAATGGTTCTGAATAATATTCTTTTAGTAAATAAAGCTACAGAAAGGTTTTCAATGTCTGCAAGACTGTCAGGTACAAAAGATTTATTCTATTTTGTTTCCATGGGAAACGACTATCAAGTGCAGACTTGGATGCTGTGTTTTAGCAGCAGTGGGAGACAGATCCTCTTAAACATGTCAGAAAGATGAAAATGACCACTGTGAATTATTACCCAGGTCATAAAATAAACAAATCCAGTATGGGATATTCTCACATCAAGTAATTTTTGCTATGTATTAGAGGAGCATTGAGAATTATTAGAAGTACCTTCAGTGGGTATTGCAAGATATTTTTTTTAATAGCTGTAATATGGTTTTGTCTTTCTGGATGAAAGGTGCTAGGGGAGTGCAAGGAGATGTTACAACTTACAAATACTTAGGGTCATTGTCAAGAAATTGCTAAGCAGATCAGGAATTGCACAACTGAGATGGAAGAACAGATTTCTTTTCCAGGAACACTGGTTTATTTGGGTCTCTGTTTCAGAAATTAGGGTAGTACTAAGTATTTTCTTTAGCATCCTGGTTGATCACTGAGTTTGGAAAGTTGAGGGGTTCTTGAGTAAACTGTGGTAAGGGCCTGCCTCCACTCTGAGGGCAACCCCTTGGAAATCTGACTTTTTTGGTGGAGCTGGAAAAAGATCAGGAGCAGGTTTCTGTGGCAGCTGTCATGGACTGTGCAGCTGGATATGGAGATGACAGGTTCCTGACAGCAGGTTTTCAGGATGGGAAGGATAAATAAAGCCAAATCACAAAATCCAGCCCACAGCAGGACTCATGAACAAGAATTAGAGAAAAAGATGTGATTTTGTGGTAGTTCCCAATAAATCTCCTCCTTGTATGATGGAGGATTCCATAAAGCAGTTTTTAAAGAGAGAATAGTAATGCAACTTCTTAAAATCGCAGCAGGAGGAAGCACAGATGAAAAAACACATTGTAGCATGACAATATTTCAACAGGGTTCAGAGGAATTGATTTTAGGAGTAAAGGTTCAAAACACATATACCTGTGCATTGAAGCAGAATTTTTGTGTATTTTACTATCTAAAATGTGACTAGTGGAAGAACCAATAAGCAAAACTGAGGAAGAACAACACAACCCATAAATGTCATCTTCACTGTCAGAGAGAATCTCTTACTTGCAGAAGTCATCCCCTCAACTCTTTATATGAATAAGGACTGCATCCTAAATTCAAGTTGCCCATTGCAAACCTCTCATCAGCTGCTCTATGTCAATCAGTGGAAGAACTTGCATGAATGTTATCGTTTAACCCCAGCTGGAAACTAAACATGCAGGGCTGCTTGCTCGCTCCCCTCTGGTGGGATAGGAGAGAGAACCAGAAAAGTAAAAGTGAGAAAACTCATGGGTAAGACAAAGACTCTTTAGCAGGTAAAGCAAAAGCCACACACATTCAAGCAAAGAAAGCAAGGAATTCATTCACCACTTCCCATGAGCAGGCAGGTGTTCAGTCATCCCTGGAGCCAGGCTCCATTAAGTGTAATGGTTACTTGGGAAGACAAATGCCATAATTTTGAACATTCCTTCTCCCTTTTTCCTTTGTCTTTCCCCTGTTTTATACGCTGTTTTACATGTTTAAATGACACCATATAGTACAGAATATCCCTTGGGTCAGTTTGGGTCATCTTTATCAGCTGTGTTCCCTCTCAACCCCTTGTGCAGCCTCAGCCCAGTGGGATGAGAGACACCAAAGGCCTTGGCACTGTGGAAGCTCTGCTCATCAAGAGCTAAAACATCTCTGTATTGGGAATATGTTTCCAGCACCAAACATAGCCTCATATTAATTACTAGAAAGAAAATTAACTCTCTTCCAGCTAAACACATCACATTCTCTGTTCCTTATTCTACTCTGCTTACATCATGCTCAGGTACTACACTATCCAACACATCTTCATTAACCAAACCCCTTCCCATCTTTATATTTAATATGCAGATATCCCTCCCTCAGTCTATGGACCACCCTTGTAAAACATCCAGAAATGTCCACAAAATCTCTGTTCAGTTCATTTAGTCCATGACTTTGGGCTCCATCTCTTACAGTGCTCACTCAGAATGGGAGAGGTCAAAACTAGCACAGTGAGTAAGAACTACTCATGTGAATAAATTCTAAAATATTTTATAAGACCATGCTCTTTGATTGTCATGGCAACAGATTTATGAATCTTCAGGCATAATTTGGATTTCCCTTCTAAACAAAATCATTTTTCTTTTTACCTATGCAAATCTTTTGCCTTGTAATTAGGGCAAGAAAAATAGGTTAATTACATTCCTAAAGATCACGCAACTGTACAGATACATTGTTAGAGAAAAACTATCAGAGTATGCAAAAATTTACCTTTATTGGCAGCCTCCAAATCGAAACAAAGTGTATTCTTATTGGAAACATTCATTGCCTTATTATTTTTCTGACAATAGTAACATTGCTACTGGGTATTGTCAATTTTTCCAGGAACCCATCCTGTGTTCATTTGAAGCACCACTGATATTACAAAATGCTCACTATTATTAGGTTCAAGGATACTTACCCAGCTTTTTACTACATTAAATATGTTCATTTTTTTAGTTAATACATGATGTTTAGCTCTTTAGTTGATCCAGGAACATTTATCTTTACAGTATAGAAACACAGTATGAAACCATAATTACAGTAAACTTCCTACAGAATATAGATATTTATTGAAACAGGAAGGATAAAAAAATCATCTGGGTTTTATTTCCCTGTGCAATTTTGCATGCTTATAAATGTCTGTATTATTAGAATATATATTGCATAACAAGCAATATTTAATTAACCACTGTTTGTAAAGAACAGTTACTTTTTGCATAGGATTTTTTTTTTCCATGGGGTTATGCATTATAAGTAGAAAGAAGAATATTACAAAAAACAAGGATAGTTGCTTAATATGTGTCCAGCACACTAATGCAGTAATAGGTTCATTTGTTTATTTTATCTCCATAAGATACATAGTTAGAATAGTGAATTATTTTCTAAAGAATGTGTTATTTTGAAAGAGAAATGTTTACATGATACAGGGTGTCCGTTGTCTTTAGCATACATTACTGCCCATGATTTGCTGTGATTTAAGACACTTTAGTAAAATTTTAAATAATTTAAAAACTTGCACAGCAGCTGCAGTTGGCTTTCTCTGTCAGTTCCAAAGAAAGTAAAATTAGTAATTTTCTTTTATTTTACGATACTTATAGTAAAGGTTTGGTGCTGAGAACACCTGTATTTCATTTCTATCCACTGAGCTATTTCTTTAGATAAAGAGTATGAATTAAAACTTGAACCATCTGCATTTTCAGGGAAGTTATAGTGAGGAGTGGAAATATTTTCCACACCTGCAGCAACTATTTCCAGTCAAGAAAAATGTGGCACATAAGAAGTTCCTGTACCCAAAATGCCTTCAGCTATCTTGATTCAAAATCCAGCAGAAACCCGATTTTTGAAAGGCCTGCTAAAAAACCAAAACAAATCCCAAAAGAAACTTGAAGTTTTGTTGTTTAAATGTAAATGTCCATAGAAATAATATTTCTAGGTCAATTAATTTCAATTGATCAGCATCTGTGTTTTACATAAATTAGGGTAAAAAATTGAATGTTTTTTAAAAATGATTGATTTCAAATCAATATGTTTGGAAATACTGATGTCAAAATGACACAAGATTTCATTTTGACATTTTTAGTCAGCCTCCAGTTTGTTTAAAGAAAGTGCACTGATACATGTTTATCTGTTTTTCACAGTGAAATTTTGTAACTTTTTTTTTTTTTTAACAGGAAAGTGTTTTGTTGTGAATTTTTTCACTAGATTTTTTTATAGCTGTCCCAATATTTACTGGCTCTCACAAGTCATTCCTTTACCTAGAAGCTTTCTGAAGGGTCATCTTTAGTACTACATATTGCCTAGCCCCTATTACTGATACTGAGCAGCAGTTCTCACCAGGTCTATGATAGAACATAATCTCTGATGGCAATTCTCTATTTAATTCTTCTTGTGTCTTCAAAAAAAAGCAGGTCTCTATTTTTCTGAGTTTTACAGATACCAGAAGTAGTACTTTTTACTACAAAAGCCTTCAAGAGGCCTTCAAAAGGCATGCAAGAAGGAGTAGAATTAATCGAATATTAATATCCTTATTAAATAGATAAGGAACTGAGCAACAAAGAAACTGCCCAAAGCTATACTGGCAAGGGAAGAGTTCGGAATTGAACCCAAATGTCCTTATTCTCAGTTCATCACTGTCCCTGCAAGGTTGGTCTTCATTTTGTGCATTTCTTTGCTTAATGACTTATATCTGGACTTTTAAGTTAATACTAGCTGAAGTATCAAATGTGAAAGGGAATTACTGATGCATACTTCCTTTCCAGTCTGACACAGTTGTCCTAAAAATTCTCTTTTCTCTCCTGAGCCATTCTGTTAGAATGTAACCATTAATTATGTAATTGCTTTACT